ATTTTTCTAAATAGACTTCCTTTCGGAGGTCTTAGATTTTAGTAGACATTGGCTTTAGAGTCATTTAAATTTGATATAGAATTATTAGTAGCTTTTTGCCTTTGTAGTTCTGCCTAGTTCTGAGCATTTTATGTTTAGGGCTTTTTTGGTCTGCATAATTTTGGCTCTGTTAGGTACTTAATCTTATTTTACTGATGGAAAAAAACCGACCAAAAGAGGTTAATTCTCTTGCCTGGGATCCCTTGGTTTGTTGCAGAACCAGAATGTAAATTTGGGATTCTTGTTGCTTAATTCTGTGTTCTATTCCCAACTATTTCATTCTACCTCTTCACTTTTAGTTTTATCTGAGCTATAGACTTGACCACATAATAGTAAACGATTCCAATAATGATATGTAGCTATCAGTTATATAAAAATAATTATGTACCAAATATTTTTTTCAAATCTTGTGTAGATTGATGGATGCCACTATTAATTTTACAAGTGATCAGGTTGATGGTATGATTATTGCATCTGTCATTTAAAAAAATATTTTGATCAACTGACTCCTTAAAAGTCCAATAGCAGGTTTGAGGATAATTGAATATTGAGGGATAACCTGGGATTTGCTTGGGTGTAGGCTTCTTTTCTTTCTCTTTGCAGCACTGTGGATTAAACCCAGGATCTTTGCACTGAGCTGCATCAAGTTCTTTCTATTTTTTATCTTTTTGAGACAGGGTATCACTAAGTTGATTGAGTGGGAGTCAAACTTTTAATCCTTTTAATCCTCCTACTTCAGCCTCCTAGAGTGCTGGAATTACAGAATTACATTACACATGGTTTTGGTGGGGTTTTTGTAGTACCACCTTTTTTTTTTTTTTTTTGCTTGCTTGCTTGCCTTTTTCTTTTGGTAACTTGGAACCTTGCACTTGCGAGTCAAGAGGTGGAGCCACTTGGGTGGAATCCAGCCCGCTTTCTTTTTTCTTGATCAATAGTGCTACTGATATAAACTTGTTAATTTGACTTGTTTAAATTGTGGATCTTTCCATTTACTTTGACCTTTTTCTGTTGGATGTACTGGAAAGAAGTGGAATGGCTAAAATCTTGAATAACCCATAAATTTAATAATCCTTGACTACATCAAGAGTGAATTATACTTCTTAGCCTTATGGCATTTTAAATGCTCTAATTATAATATTTTAAATAGGAAAATGACTTCATTTTCCCTCAGACCCAAATTGGCATTTGTATTAATGCCATTTATTTTAGAAGATTTTTAAATTTTGTAAATGAATAATTTTATATGTTTTCTCTTTTAAGCATTTTTGTGTCTGATGTCTTGTTACTCATGCATCTAATGTTAGCTTTTGTTTACTATACTTCCATAACAAGCTAAAAATATGACCATGATTGACTGATTACCAATGTAAGGCAAAATGAAATTAGAATCATAGTATTTTTTAATGCCTTGAGAATGGTGCCATGCTTTATTCAGTTTTGTGCCTTGTATAGAACTGTCATTTATTTAGGTGGTTGTTCTGAACTAGGATCACTTTTGTGCCACAGGAGACATTTGATAATATTTGTCATAATTAGGAGTACTGTTACTAGTAGGAAGAGACCAGGGAAGAGACGAGGGATGCTGAGAAACACCCTGTGGTACATAGGACAGCCCGTACGGTAAAGGAGTATTTAGTCCAAAGGTCAAGAGTGATATGACTGAGAAACTAATGTGTGGCAGTATTCAGCTTATTGAATTGAAGAGAGTATTAATTCTATTTCTTAATTATAAGACTTTATCTGTTATTATTGCCTATGTGTAATCATATACCCAATTGATGATTTACAAGGGAGAATTTAGTTCCTTGCTTCATTATGCTAAAAGTATTAAAAAAGAAAAAATTGCCAATTACAGTTGCTTTTATTTTTTTTCCCTCATTGAGTTTATTGGTACATTTTAGGTATACAGTACGGTTACATTCATTATTGGGATCGTGTACCTTTACATGCATGACAGGTCTTGGTTCTCATTTTTTCCCCTTGTTCCACAATTGCTTTTAATTAGTTGTATTTAGTTAAAATAAAGTAACATTAGTAACCAAGTTTTAGTGAACAAGAACAGTCGTTGTTTTCATTTTGAACTTCCCTTCACCCTCAAGATTTTCAGTTTCTTGGAATCAATATTATTATTCTCTACAATATTGCCAGTTAGATTGCACATAATCAGTTATCTAGACAAGTTAATTATCCATAGGCTTACACCAATAATTAATCTGGGTAATCTTTATCGTACTGTGTTCTGCTCTCATTTTTAGAGTTTAAGATGTGAAATAGAATCTTTTAAATTCGATAACTGACAAAACAGGGCTTGTGCTTCACAGCAGATATAGAGTGAGTCTCAGAGTGAGTAGAGTAGAACTCACATCATAATAGAGTTGCATGCATGTGTATTATTTCTATTTCTACTTTAAAATTACAATCTCTTAATTCCTTTGACCTTATTTAATTGGAACAAAGCTTCATGTTCTGAGACCCTTAGTAGTTTTTTTTGTTTGTTTGTTTGTTAGGGTTTTTTGTTTTGTTTTGTTTTGTTTCTTTTGAGTAAGGGTAGGAAGAGGAAGGGGATAATTTAGAAGAATATTGAAAAGCACTTCAGTGCTTCATGATTACTCAGAAATTTTGTGCTGAGCTTTCTTTTTAAATATCCATAAAGGCCACCATGAGCTGGAGATCAATGAATGATCCTGTTTGGTGTTCCTAACAATATGGTGCTTATCAGAAGAAGAAACTGTAGCAACACTATTGTAGCTGCCAATCTTTCTTTTTAATTTGGAGGTTTTAACTGAACATGATCTGTTGAACTTTCAGCCTAAGACATTCATATGCTGTGAAGTCCCAGAGTGTTTTTTAGGATTTATAGGTTTTTTTGTTTTTGTTTTTTTTTTGTGTGTGGAACGAACTCTGGACCTTGTGCTTGGGAGGCAGACAGTGGCACCACTGAGCTAGATCCCCAGCCCTATAGTATTTGTTTTTAATATCTGTAGCAACTAGAGTGAAAGTAGATTCTAGATGCGCTTAAGTGTCAAGGTTGTAGGGTTTGGAAGTACAGTTTTGATCTGATTTTTGAGTTTGGGCATTGGTTGTCATCTGTCCATGAGAAGTAGCCTGTGCTTTAACATAGAGGAGGCTGCAGGCATGTGAAGTGAGTGCCTCATCTGGTGGTGAGCTGGAAGAGGAGGTAAGGAGATAGCATCACACTCTTCAAACATTGTGTAGGAGCATTGGAGAGGTGTTTAACCTGAATGTTCCATGGTTTAGATGTATTACTTTTCTGTTTTTTTTTTTTGTACTGTGGATCATACTTGGGTTCTTGAGCTTGTGAGACAGGCAACAGTACCACTGAGCTAGATCTCCAGCCTGGCCCACTTTTCTGTTTTTAAAAGAGAAAATAACAAGAAAATATCCTACCCTTGACATCTTCTTTCAGTGTTTTATTTTTCTTGTAGAAATTTTCAACCTCAGCAATACATGAGAATTACCTGTAGAATTTTAAAATATTGCTAATGTACCAGTTCCATTCCTAGCAGTGCCAAGGTGTCTGAGGTTGGCTGTTGGTATTAAGAGCGTCACAGATAATCTAGCCTGCAGCAAGGCTGAGAACCACTGTTCAGCAGTGTATTGGAATTTTCTGGAGGACTGTTTATTAGGTCTGAGCTGTGCCCTGAGAATTTCTAGGTGATGCTGATGTTGCTGATAAAGTCATCACACTTTGAGAATCATCAAGAGGACAGTCCTGAAAATGATTTGGGGGCTGGAGATGTAACTCAGAGGTAGTGTTTACCATGCTTGTATACAGCCCTAGGTTTAATCCCCAGCATTGCAAAAAGTAAATATTTGAAAAATAAAATAGCATTTATATGTAGCTGATAGTCTGATTTTTCTGTTTTGGTACCAAAGATTGAACTCAGGACCTTGCACTTACCAGTCAGGTGCTGTGCCACTGAGCCACATCCTTGACCCCGATAGTCTGATTTTAAAAAAGAATCTTGCTGGATATGTATTTCTGGCTTAAAAATTAAGGCTACAGAAAATATTGTACTTATAGGTAGTTCTTTTTGTGTTAAAATATTATTTCTGCATTTGAATGTTTTACAATGAACATTTCAAATTTTATTTTAAAATTTCTTTGGAGAGAAAAATTACATCAATAGTAAATGAAACCTTCATATATTGTAATTCATAGTTTAAAAATTGATAAATTTACAGTTGATAGCAGGCTTTTTGAGCTATTTAAAATAACTTGTGGTTGTGTTTTTTTTCTTCCCTTAGTTTAGCCCCATTCTTTGAGAATCTTCCAGATTTTAGATCTTACATTTAATATGTATAACTCAATGTATAACTCCAACGAAAAATAATTTATCCCCATTCAAAAGGGATTGCAGACAGTTTCAGTATGGATGCTTTATTGTTTGAGATGAGAAGAATGTTTTCTTTTACCTTCATCTTAAATATCCCACAATAACACAGGAGCATGCATGAGAAGGAGGCAGTAAATGGAAACAGAGTAAAGGAGAGATAGTACCTGCAAGTGGGAATAATGCTAGAGGAAATGGAAGATTCCAGGTTTGGAAGGAGAACAGTAGCAGAAGGTGCGGTGGCCTGTGACCTCTAAGAAGGGAAGGAATCAAGGGGTGGATTTCAGAGAGCTACTGGATTCAGGACCTTGGCCAAAGACAGCTACTGTATAAAATTACAGAATCTGTTCTCCAGTTTAGATCTCTGAGGTGCCAGGTTCATTTTTTTTTATGCAAAAACAACAACAACAATTAGATAAAAGAATAGGAAGCCATTTCTAATGAATGAACTCTGTAATGCAGAAAGTGATAGTTTCATGACTATTATGAATCCTAGAAAGAGTCTCTAGCTGGTGTTGGCTTTTCTTTTTTTTTTGCTATGTTTGGATATTGAGAATGTGTAGTCTTGAAACGACAGCTTCCAATGTGAGTTTCTGTGTTTTGCAGAAATCATCCTCAGCCTTTGATCACTGTGCTTGAACACAGACCTGATTGCTGGCCAGTACTTCTGCAGCAGCTGACAGCCTTTTTCCAGCAATGCCCTGAAAGGTAAAGTAGAATGAATGAGAGGGACAGAATGGTTATATTAATTTTAGAGCTGGGCTGGCTGGCTTGGTTCAGCTTCTTTGCCTGCCTTCTTTTCCTTTCCCTGTCCCTGTCCCTGTCCCTGTCCCTTTGTTTGTTTGTTTGTTTGTTTGTTTGTTTGTTTGTTTCTTTCTTTCTTTCTTTCTTTCTTTCTGCTATGACTGTACTATTTTCTTTTAAAGAAATGTCTCAAAGCTAATTGTTTTCTGTTCTCTTTCAAAGAAAAAATTCTGCAAGATTTATTGGTTGTTGAAATGTTGAACACAAAAGTTATTATTGTAGTAGGTAAACATTAGTTAATGATAGGAAAGTTGAGTAAACTGTTACACAATACATATAGGAGGGTAGATTCTTCTCCCTGGAAATTGTTTAATAAATTGACCTATTTATTAGATACCTGCCAATTGGGATCAGGTAATACTGCCAGGTGGGCTCTGCTAGCCACGAGATGTGCATTTTAGCATCGTTCAGGCCTCCTGATGGACCTCTGGGTTATTTATTTCTCTTCTATCCTTACAACATGGCACTAGTTCAAGACCTCACCATCTTTTGCTGTGGTGATATCAGTCGTTTGTAACACTGTCTTTGCTCCAGTCTTCTCCTGCTGATATCTCTTCTCTGAACATTCATCAGAATATCAAGAGGTCAAATCTTACTATATTGCTTCTTTGCAAGGATTACCAGAGTTATGATTTCCAAACTGTATTTGCTGTATCTCTGGTAAGCAACAGGATGTTCCTCATTCCTTCAGCATGATTGTTATAGAACTTCCTTGTCAATACTTGTATTATTCAGCTTTCCTGTTACCTGACATCTGTAACTTGGAGGAAAGTTTTATTTGGTTCAAGGCTTCAGAAGATTTGGTCCATATTTAGCTGTCTGCAAGGTGGGAACACCATAGTAGAAGAGTATCTAGGAAGCAAAGCCATACACTAGGAGAAAGGGCACAGGGACTAGATATAGTACCCAAGGCCGGTGCCTCTGTGATCCACCCAGACACACCCAGAAGTGTGCTTTACTAAACCCCTAGATGGCTCCCAAGACAATCAAGCTTAACTGGCTACATTCTACCCATTGTCAACTTGACACCCAAAGACATCTTCTTAAACTATAATCTCCAAATACATGAAATTATAATTTCACCTACTGTGTTATAACTACCCCATGTACAATCAATGTGTGAAAATTCCTTCCCGAAAGTCTTAGCAATGTGAGCATTTCTCAAAAGTCCAAGTCAAAGTCTCCTCTGAGACGGAAGGGAACCACCTACCTGTGAACATCTACCCAATTAAAAAAAAAGTTACTTAATCTCCAAATAGAATGCCACAAGGTAAACATTCCCATTCCAAAAGGGAGGAATACAAAGAGAATAGAGAAGAATTGGACCAAAGCAAGACTGTGATCTTGTAGAGAAAACAGTAAGTCCTGTAGCTTCATGTCCTGCAACCAGGGCATGTGGTAGTGAGATGTGAGTTCTAGAGGCACTGGGTGGCCCCAATATGGCCTTGCTATTGTAGCCCGTATAGCCTTTCTCTCGGACTGATTCCATTTGCTGCCTGCAGCTTTCCTCAGAAGACCTTCCACATTCCTGGAATCTCCACCTTCTTAGGGTTACCACTGTATCTTTGATTTCATTCCTACAGCTTCATGCATTCTTCTCTCAGGTACATTGCCTGGCCTCCAGGCTTTCCTTTGAAATCAGGATGGAAGGTTTTCTGACCCATCTCTTCAATTCTGCATGCATGACAAGTGGATGATGCCAGTCTAACTCCAGCTGGAGCAGTAGTGAGGTCCCCCTGTACCATGGCTACAGGAGCCTCTGAATGCTTACATGTCTGAGCATGGTGAAATTGGTCCCAGGGAACCAATTGCCTAGGTGGCCCTTTTCAAGCAGCGGCCCCTGGGCTCTCCTCTTAAATCTTTGTACCCTTCAGCCTGCAGTGGGTGGGGTCTTGCTGATTTCTGGAGATGCCCCAAGGTATCTTTCTTCTTGTTTTTGTTTTATTTGTTTGTTTATTTTTGGTTTTTTGAGATAGGGTCTCACTGTGTAGTTGAGACTGACCTGGAACTCACTATGAGCCCAGGCTGGTCTTGAACTCCTGTAATGCTGGCATTACAGGTGTGCACCACCATGCCTGGCTCTTCTTGTTTTTGTTTGAAGTACTTGGCTTTGTTTTTTTGGGGGGGGGTTCAAACTCGGGACCTTGTGCTTGTGAGAGAGAAGGCAGAACCACTGTGCTAAATCCCTGGCTCTTGGCGTCTTTTTTCATGGTACCAGTCTCTTCAGCTAGTATCAAACCTCTTTTGGCCCCAACTTTACTGGTTCTTTTTAGTTAAAAATTTAAAATTTTCAAATACTACCCTGTCTAGCTAAAAGCAGCCAGTAGCACATATGCCACAACCTGAACGTTGGAGGCAAGGTTTAATTTGGTTCATGGTTTCAGAAAGTTCAGTCCAGAGTGGAATGGGCTGGTTCCAGTGCAGAAAGGACATGGTAGAAGTGTGTGGCAGAGTAAAACTGCTGAGTTCATAGTGGCCAGTAAGCAGAACAGGGGAATGGCATGCAGGAAGAAGGGTTGGGACCATATATATTGCCCAGGGTCACACTCTCAGCCCACCCAAACACATCCAGAGGTGTGCTTACGCATTCTCTAAGCAGCTCTCAAGCCCATGAAGGTGTCAATTAAGCATAGTCACCACAATGTCTCATGGAAACTTCCTACTGATAAAAAAAAGATTTGGTTCCTGAAATAGTTTGAAAGCCTGGACTATAGGATAAAATCTAGTATATCTTGCTAGGCCCTGTGTATGATATGGTTCTTATATGTATCACCAGTTTTATGTCATATTTGTCTTAAATTTATGCTTTAGCAGTACAATGACTTACTTTTTGGTTCCACCCAGGAAGCAGTGCTGTTCTCTTCTTTTCATACTTTAGCTTATTAGTATCCACCTTAGTCTATTGACTCTTATTGTACTCCTTTCCTGTCTGATTTCTGTATTTTAAGTCTCTGTTTATATATTCTTTGCTTAGCGTTTGCTTACTGTAAGCTGGATTAGCTGTCTCTCCTGCTTGCTCTTACAGTTGTGGTTTTGTTTTGGGTTGGTTTTTGAGACAAGGTCTCTTTCTATGTGGTTCAGGTTGGCTTTGAACTCGCTCTGTAGCCCAGGCTGGCCTCTAACTCATGATGGTCCTCTTGCTCAGCCTCCTGAGTGCTGGATTATAGGCCTGTGCCACCACACCCAGTTTAGAGTTGTGATTTCTAGCATTACACTAACCACATAGTTTTATAGTTCCTCCCATTAACTGAAACCTTCTTGAGGGTAGGTGTTGTGCTTCATTATTCTTGTTATTAATGTCTGGCACATCTTATGTGCTTTATAAAGGTGGGGTTTTTGTAAAGGAAACTCATGAATTGCAGAGCTCAGGTAATGGCTTGTCTTATAACAGTTCATACTTCGTACCACTACATAAGGTCATGATGAGGTCAGTACCCTGAATAATGCCTGAGTTACATTCACCACAGCAATTATATGCAGATTTTCTTGTTCTGCAGGTTTTATAAAGTTCTGTAAATATTGTTTCTTAGAACATCACTTCTGATTTCATAATTTCAGTTTTAGATAGAGTTTCTATCTAAAGGAAGGGTGTACTGTTACAGAAAGTTTTAAGGAGATACAGGGAACCTTATATTTTATTCACTTTGAGGTACTATAATAAAAATAATAAAATGCTATAGAGCATCTGGCTTATAAGAAACCCAATTTTATTTACATGGATCCAGAGGCCGGAAATGTCAAGGTGCTGGCAGATACAGTGATCATGAGATCAACTTTCTTGTTCTCAGATAACTATCTTTGCACTGTGTCTACACATGGTCAGTGTTCACTAGAGAAACAGATTTGATGTAAGATTTAAAAATATATGTGGATTTATAAGGCAGGCTTACAGTGGCTGCCTGTGGAATCAGGTGTGGAAGAGTGCAAAAGGGCTGTTTGTGCGCAGGAGATTCGGAGGATCCTGTCAAAAGGTTGAGGGCCTGGAACTCACTGTAGTGTCCCATGGGGGTTGGTATCAAGGAGCCAAAGAATTCATGACAGGAGGCTGAAGGCTAAAGTCTGAGGTGGAGGCCAGGAGACGGAGTCCAAGGTGAAGCTGAAGACTGGAGCTCCTCCGAAGAAACGGGCGCAGCTTCCTTCTTCATTCCTCTTTTCCTCCCCTTCAGGGAACAAGCTTTTTGGTTGGTGCCGCTTACACCCATGCTGGATCTCCTGTCTTTAGCCACACCTGGAACTATGCTAATCCAATATACAGTGGCACTTTGGTTTAAAAATTTAATTCTTTCCATGATTCTGCTTGCAGGCAAAAGTGGATGAGAACCAGTCAAATTCAGTGGTTAGATTCAGTGTTAGTCTTATGGGGAAATTGGATTCAGTTCTCATTCAATTTGGTTTGTGAACAGAATCATGGAAAGAATTAAGTTCATGAACCGAGGTACCTCTGAAGCCGGGTGTTTCTTATTCAAGTTGACAGAGCAGTTAATTGTCACAGCCAGGATAACTTTGGTGCTTCTTTTATAAGGGTACTGATCCCATACCCAGAGACCTAATTCTTCCCCAGAAGCTCCCATCCTTTAGTACTACTAGTTTGGCAGTAAGATGACAACATAGCAGTTTTAAGTAGGACATAAAGGATCCAGTCCATAGGACCTTGTAACCAGCTGCCCATGAGAAAGATAGAATGAGTTAGTTCAAAAGTAACATCACCATCCTCTCTTCTCTTACTGAGATTTGTACTTTCCGAGGCTAGATATTAATATTTACCAAATAAGCCTTTGTTCAACTCCCATCAGAAACAAAAAACCTAGATAACTTCAGAAACATTTGTTAAATAAAATTTCTTTCTGTTGCTAAGGATGATTGGTACTTTGTGAAAACTGCTGCTGCTGTATCAGATGTGTCAA